AACTAATTAGCGAAGTCAAAAATATCTAAGTTCTAAAAATTTACTTTCTAATTTTACATTTTTCAAAATACTTAAGCAGCACCATATCGTTTACACATTTGAATAACTGAATGATCTGACCTAGACGAATAATAAAATATCGGTTCATAGGTTAGGTTTGTTTATATGATTCATTGCAACCGTAAGGCATTTCAATCAAAGTCAATAAAAAAATTATCGCTTTAGTAATATCGAATAATTGGGTTTTTTTATATTTAGGCGTAATGGCTGTAGGTATTTTGTACAACGGTATTATATTTCGATGTTTTAAACTAGGTCATTTTAACTTTTGGTTACATACGGTGCCGAACGCGATGCCTTTAGTTGGATCGAAGGGAGCAGATATTTTCTTACCCTCATATACGTATCAAGGTTGTTGCTGATGCAGGTTTTTTACACATCAGTGGATGCTGACTTTAGGTATTTAAAAAAATCACGAAAAATATACATCTTACTGAATGTATGTACATGAAAAACCTTTTTATCTTCTTTGGTATGTATATATTGTAATAAAATATTATTTAAATGATTTTGTGACATTTATTAACAATCTTCATGAAAACAATGAATGTGCCTAGCTTAATCGTTACGGAGTTTTATCAAGTTTGTGAGCTGCTTTTTCGGCTTACCGTCTGCTTCTGGAAGGATTGTAAATTATTCCAGCGTGCCTTTTAGGTCATGTCATGACTCGAACGTCCGCAATGAATATCAGCATTGATGAATGCTGATGCTGATATTTTAATTTAGGCTGATAATCCGCGGATGCGTATACTGATTTTCGCAACAACCCTTATACGTATTTGTTAGTGAAATTAGTGAAGGTACTAATTTGCTAAATTCCTTCATTTTGAAACTTGCCATACCCACATCTACATCATAACGAACACTTGGAAGCCACAACCCATGATGTATGGTACTTACGTTTGTACGATACTCATCCGTCAGAGCTTTATACCGGCCCTACTGCATCCATTTTCACATTACTAAGGTCCGTAGCGTAGAAAAAGCTTCGATACTTGACGCCTTTAGTAATTGCTTTTAGAATTTACAGACGCCTTTAGAAATTACAGGAACATGGGACTGACAACTTATGTTTCGCGGTGATGGACGGAGTGGCAGTGCCCCTCAAACTGCCTCCGTGGCCGAACGGTTACCATGCCGGACTGCCATGCAGAGGTCCTGGGTTCGATTCCCAGGCCGGGAGAAATATGTATATGGCCTACATTTATTTCTCCCGTGAGTTTGGGTGTAATTTGTGGTTGTCTATGTGTCTGTCCATGGCACCCGCGACACAGGGTTTCCCTAGTGCGGGGCTATGTTGAGTGTGTGCGTTATTATTAATAAAAAAAAAATCTTTGCGATTTAAAGTTATCAATCTAGAAATGCTATGGATAGGCTTATCGCTTACCACCAGGCGCACGATGTTCGTCCCTTCAATAATTGGTATCATAATAAAAATACTGCTGTACCTTGCTAATAGTTTAGTGCTATTGGATGGGGAGAATGGCATAAGGCAACTTTCACTGCTAACCTGATTGTTGCCAGATACATGTTATGTGGTATAGAGCCAGTCATTTCATTACCCACGCTTCCAACAATACCATTGCTCTTATGGGGACCTAAAAAAATATTTGTTTCCCTGGTTACGGCAATTGAATTTCGTGCCCAAGATACGATACCCAGATAAACCCTGTTGGGAAACAAAATTTAATCACTATCTCTCTGGTGATATTTGAGTTAATATGAATATAATTAACTTCTTCGTTATTATGGGGATAAGTGCCGCGTTATTCTTTTTAATGGGCAAACGGTAACGACACTGGAGCCGTAATTATAGCACGTGAATGCCGAAGTGGCACTCTTTTGGACAGGGAACAATATACATATATATAACAATATATATGTATATACTTTACAATTATCATATTATTCAACATATTTACTTGCGAACGTATAAGAATAACACTTGCTTTTATAATCCCTTTATAAGAATGTGTCAGCTTAAGAACGGAGATACCTATGAAAAACTGCGGTTTGAATATTTTTGACTTAAGATTCAGAATATTTTTGTTTTCATAATACCAAGTGACAGGACGAACAAGTCATGCGCCTGGTGGTCAGCGACACGCCTATCCATTGCAGTTGCAGTGCCACTCAAGAGCTTTAAATCACAAAGATCTTTGGGGCACTGTCACTGCGCCCGCCATCCTGAGACCTAAGTTGGCAAGTCCCACGTGACTGTAACCTTACCCTGCAAAACCGGAACGCATTACCTATTACTGCCTGGCAGCAGAAATAGGTAAGGTTGCCACCTTACTTCCATGGACGAACTCTTTCACAAGGAGCTCTATTGCTGCTGTATAATAATATTTAAATATCATATTTAATTCTTATCAATGTAATTTGATTGTTAACTGTTTTGTTGTCCATATAACAAATAAATAAATAAATTACATGATCATCATAAACTGCTTAATATTTCTGTATAGAATGGAGTTAAGAACTACTACTTCGCAGTTTGTAAATAATTTATACAGTGCCTGCATCGATCCAACGTCGTCAGGGCTTCTTGCGTCGGTTACGCAACACAGAGTTAGAATCTAATTCGATTAGAGCAGGAAATGCTATTCCCTGTTTCTTGCCGATGCGTTTGTTGAGTGCTAGAGTGTGTAAGAAACACGCTTAAAATCTTTTAACAGTAAAGTGTTCTTGAATGGTTTTAGGTCATTAACCACTTTCACCGATCCTAAAATAGAAACAAGACAACACAGTGCACACTGAAATTCAGCAAACGAATATATGGCAAAAGCAACAATTTCTCTTTATGGATTCAGCGTGGATTACTCACCGCCCACAAATGACCAATAATGTCGGCACCATTACTCGACCAGAGTATTGTTTCACGATTTCATCGATTTACGTGCAGTTAAACTAAGTATTTATTGGTTCCATGTAGCTCTGATTCGAAATCTGGGACCAAACGGTAGTACTTTCACCTAATTTATCAGTTTTATTGCCGGCCGGTCGTCCCTTTATCTCTGACCCTAACTTCGCGCATTTTAGTAAAATTGATTTCTTGCGCAGTGACCTAAATGTATGTAACTTACTTGTTGGCTACTCAGGTAAAGTTGGGTTTGTAAAGACGATCTTATGCTAACAAGATGGATATTTGCATGTTTCTAGTTTCATACCAAAATAGTTGCGTGTTCACTAAAAGCCAACGAAATGTGCGACCGGTAACACTACACTGACGAAGAACTATCCATTGCGTGCTGTGCACTGATTTAGAACATTCGTGCTTACACAATATGCAGTGTAATTGAGTTCGTAAACTAAGCTCTTTGTTCTATTTTTGTCTGAACTTGCTTTTGTGATAGCCGAGAAATAATCTTATCGACTTTAACACGCTCCTGCTTTGTTCTGGCAAGTCTTACTGGAGCATTGCACTTTTGTTCAAGTAACTTTGATTACGATACCAATGAATGCTTAGTAAATAGTGTAAAATAGTATTTGTTCTTGCACGTACAAACACATTATGTCACCGCGCTTCATCTGTCATTACACCCTGTTATACAATAGCGTACAAAGGCTGCACTTGTACAGCTTCCCATGCGTGCTTCCACAATGTAAACATTGTCTAATTTTTTGCGCCTTGTGCAACACCTCGTATGGAGAATTAAGCAGAAGCGAAACTACCACTGTTTCCAAGGCCAAAAACACTCTCGTTTGGTTTGAGATTTTGTCTTTGAGTGTGACGTTTTCGAAGATCCATCGCGATAAGTATGCAGGTTGACGTCGGTTTGTTTTTCTGTTATTGTTAACTTTGTCATAGTTTACCAATTTAAACCTTTGCCTTTTCCTTAACGGAAAGAATTTAAAAAACAACAACAACACCTGATTGCGATGTCATGGCTCAGTGCTTAAGTACGTTTATTTTCTTCTTAATATTAAGGACATGATCTGTGTTTACACCGTTACACATACACCAAAGGTGAAATATTATAGTATTGATTGTATATTACATCATCTAATAAAATAGTAAAACTATGCTTTCTATTAGACACGTCGAACTTGTAATGCCAAGATAGTCTTGATATTTTCAGATAACTTTGTGTGAAATTACAAAATTGCTTTATCTAATGCTTACGTCTGTCTTCGAGCTTCACGCTTTTATTGTTTCTTTATAAATCTCACGGAAGTTTAAGTTTCCCAGGGTCTATTATTGAATCTATGGGTAATTCCAACAATTAACTATTGTTTCAAACTGTCTGGCACTGACCCGCTGACAGATTTTATCTTGAGCGATATTCATACAATTGGCAGGAAGGATGCGTTTGTTGCTGTTACTTTCTTGACTATTTCCGCCGTTCAATAGCGATCCATCCATCTTTTGAATTGATCGAAGGGCTGTCTTGGGTTATGTACTTGCAATCCTACCGTCTCAATGTGACAGGTGCGTGTGCCATAAATTGATTGATGAACGATGAAGTATACCGCACGAGTTTATAGGTTAATAGCAACTAATGACATTAGTGTTATATGACCATTTCTATTTATAGGCTTCATTTGATTCATTCACCTGTGAAACTGTTTACGTGCTTTCGCAGGTGACTAGATGAATTCAGATATAGAGTGTAAATGTTTTCACTGATATTAATATAAATCTTTCGACATTTGCCGGCAGTTCCGCTTTTGTAAATAATTTTCGCTGGCCTGACCCTGTTCGCTTATCGTAGTTATGTATTTTTCTGACGTTTATGATACAACAATCTCAATCGCCATTGTCTTTGTTATCGCTTGCAATACAGAATTGATAAACAAAAAGCAGATTTGTCTCTAATTCAAGGGACTTGATCTTGGCTATTGAGACAAATATACACCATGGCGTCAAACACGTTTGCGTTTTGCAAATACTTGAACTGCTAAGTAAGGATCTATTATCAATGACATATTCTTTCCAGTTACAATGGCTACCTGCCCGCGGGCGAGCGAGGTCGTCGGCGCAGCAAATTCGTGCTGTATCGGCGACCGCAGGCCAACGGAGTGCGGCGGTCGAAGCACTATGTAGTGAAAACCCCTCACAGCAGCAAGGCTATCCTCGACGCCAGCCAGCACTCCATCTCGTACACCCTCAGCCGCAGTCAGGCCGTCATTGTGGAGTACACGGAGGATCCCGACACCGATATGTTTCAGGTAAGTCTTATATAATTACCAGCTACCCAGCCTGAGTGACCCAAAGAGAGACTCCGCCACTTAACGATGTTATTCTTTTTTAATTCTAGACGAAGAAAGATAAATAAATACATTCACATTTATGTTTTAAGCTGGTTCTTCGGGATTTCTTAGTCATATATTCTCTCATAGAGAAAAAGAACGAGAATTGTGGGTTAGGTATTCGCGAATACGATTAAAATTAATATTTTTTTTGTAATCCATGTTGTGAATGTGTCTTTCGATAAAATATTATATTACATACGTATATTTTTAGAGTTATAATTCTCCAAAGCGTAAAGGAAGATGTCAGAAGTTTCGATCGTCTTTCGGTTTTTAATAAAGGTATTAGCAAAGTTCAAACCGACGATCTTGGACTTAAACTTTATTATCGAAAATATTTCGATGCGTGTTTGTGTGAAATTAAAATTTTCAATTACATTATGAGTAATGCGGAAAGCTCACAATATATTATTATTCGCTTGTAAATAAATAAATTAATTGAGATTAAATTATTTGATATTGATTCACAAATGATTCCATTGATTGACAATGGATATAACGATCGTCGAATTGCAAGGAGTTTATAAATCTCGCACATAATAGTAAATGAAGCTTCACTCACAAGATATTTACGTCGCAATATTAAATAAGCTTTAATTATCCATAAAACTATATCATCATAAAATGAATAACAAAGCATCGTGTTGAAATTTTCAACAAACACGATTGCTACACTGAGATAGTAGTTGCATCCCTCATTTCGAAATCGTGTCAACACAAGTTCTAATTATGTCCCCTCGTACTGGGATCGCTTATCTAAAGGCAGACGGGCTGTGTTTGCTCGACAAAGCATCTAAACATATGGGGTTACGCTACGTAGGTTCAAACAATACACTGATAGCGGTTGTCAAGTAGGGGGTGTATTTCAATCTCTACGAGTGTATTGGTGCTTGACGACGTATAGTATTCAAAGCGTGCTTTGTGTATCTTTGCGGTTTTACCAAAGAATAATATGAAAATTTAGCGCAGATTTAACGATTATACGAGACGTGACTTAGAGCGAGAAAACTGCCTGTATAAGTGCGGCAAGTATGCAGCTTCGATGCACGCCAAACACTAAACTGCATCATTCTGCATCACAACTAGCGGTAGCGCAGCTGGCCTGTAAAGAGCGTCTAGTCGGCGCACAACATTACCTAATTACATGCGTTTATTCTATTTATTCGGCCTTCCTTTGTGCTAGACCAGAGGTTCTTAAACTTTTTGTCTCGTATACTACGCGCCAATTTTTTTGTTTTGCGAGAGAGAGAAAGGGAGGGGTCCCTTTCTAGTACAGAACTTTTTAAAAATTCATCATCTTCAGATATGCTTTTGACAGCTGACACAGCGCTACTCATAAGTTTAACTGTATAGTGAGAAACTATAAAAAGAAAATATTTTGTATGTTTATTTAACCGAATATCTTGGTCGTTGTGAAATGTTTACTTCATAAGAAAGTATTATCTATGTAGTACATGCAACGTAGGGCATTTATCGATGCTGACATGACCGAAAAGGCACGCTAGAATAATTTACAAACCTTCCAGAAACAGACTGTATGCCGAAAAACCAGTTCAGCTGTTGTTTTTAACATATAACTTTATAAAATTCAACACCGACTAATGTAGGTAGATTAATTAATAGTTTTCATGAAGATTGATTCTTTTGCTGGTAAATGTCACAAAATCATTGACATAATATTTTATTACAATACCAAAGAAAATAGAAAGCTTTTTCATGTAGATAGATTCAGAAAGGATGTACATTAGGTATGATGTTAAGGTCAAAAAATCATTATCCTATATAAAAATATATATAAAAATATATTATAGTTGATGTGTAAAAAACCTGCATCAGCAACAACCCTGATACAAAGGTACTATCTGTATAATGTGAAATTTCCTAAGCGGAGCCCTGTGCGTAATAGTAGATGTACATATTATAAAACTGATTAATTTTAATCAGTGAGAGTAATTCGTAGCTACTGCTATACACATCCCACTACCTCTTCTCTCTTTTTTACGGGATGCCCTGTCGCTGTTATAATAAATCGTGTGTATTTGGCGCGGATCTTCCTTTTTCCACCTCTAACTTTTACTAGTTATCTTTCCAAACTCATATTGAGTTTATTCTAAATTATTTAAGATGCATTGCAGCTAATCCAAACAGAATTGTAACAAAATTCTTTATTAAATTTTATCACAAAAATGTTGGTTTAGTGCCAGGAATAACGTAATATTGCGGTGTCTAATGGAAGCGGTTGACAGCCCAATGACGAAATGTTTGGTTTTTTTTTTTTCAAGAAATTAGGTTGCCAAGACTATGTAAAATGTGTACTTTGTTGTTGTAACAAACCGTTACTTTTTGCCCATCCCCACGACAACGAAACGGGAAAGTAAGAGAGGAAGCTGAAAAACCGAAAATAATACTGAATACTGATGTGATGTACTCGTTTATTCTTTTTCAAAATTAGTGTCTATCTTTTTTATAACGTGTCGCTTTGCATAAACAGCATGTCGAAAGACAAAGCAAAAAGCTCAGAAACGAGCAACGTCTTTTTTTAAGAGACTTATGTCCCTATTTACGTAATGTATTAAGTGTTTGAAAAAAGTACGCATGGTCGTCTTTTATTTCATACTTAGGTATTAAATTACTTTTAAGTCGCCCCTCGTACATGCGTCTAAGACAAGGTTTAGTATATTTTGTCCCTTTGTTTGCCTAAGGTTATGATGTGCTCATTGCCTATCGACATTCTATCGTCAAAAGGACTTCTTGTGGTCATTTCTATATTCCCATGTATCTCCAAAATTACTGAACTGATTAACATGTTTCTTAGATGGGTTAGACGTGGTATTGTGGCAATCGAGACGCTGCAGTAGATAAACAACATGATGTAGCTGTATAAACAAAATTATGTCTAAAAGCACCATGTTAAATGAGGTTCGCTGTGGATGGGGTCGGCTGAACATGTCATCCAAAGTTTTTGACATGCGAACATGTTGGCTAACGTGGACAACTTGTTTGTGGGGATTATTCAACTCCTAAAATAGCTTGAGACGTTCGTCAATATAAACATTACCCATTGGATATAGTTTGTAACTTGTTATAACTGCAAGCATTTTTTTAAAATAAGGAAGCATAAATCGAGATCTCGTTCTCTAAAAATCCACATCCGATGTTTGATATATTTAGATATTTGTTCAAATTTATCATTTACAATAATTATACAAAAATATCTTAGATAGGAACAACCTGGACGAGCTAAATTATATGGATATAGAATTCTTTGCATTATGAATTCTACAGTGCAGCAGGGCTAAAAAAGCCGTATGGGCAGAATTATAATATGATTAATTGACAATTCATATAACGCAATTCATGTATTTGATATTTTCATAGAACAATGTCAAATAGATGAATTGTGCATTTGGTTTTCTTTGAAAATTCATAATATGAAATGCCAATCAATCATATTATAATCATGCCAATGCGGCCTTTTTAGACCTACAGGAGAAATCTTTCGGAAGAAAAGTGACTTTTGTTTTCTTATCACTACTTACACTTGTCCTACCACGTTATGAGTTCTTTTTATTTTCCCGATATTTCGGAACGGTTATACGCGCCATGGTCACGGGTTGATCCCTGACCTGTCAGCATTGATAATAATTTAGTGAATAGCCGCGAAAGTATTAAAAGTATGGCCACATTTTCATCTGTATTTGTCTAAAAAATGCTTATATGTACACTGTACCTTTTGAATAACTTAAATTACAGTTTTCAAGAAACACAAATGGTGTTCCATGTACTGTTTTTTGACAATAATTTGTATTAAATTTTTTTCTTGTACTAATTTTTGTCCAAAAAACAGTTAACCTTGCGAACGCTATATAAAGAAGTCCCAGGTTTTATTCCCGGTGCGACTCACTTGAGAATGGAATTTTCATTTTGGTGTGAACGTCCTGAATGCTCCAGAATCTCGTTACCCTGGTGCTCAATAGTACAGAGATTTCTTTAGTTTGAGACCATGTATTTAGTGACGATCGTATAATGCCTTGACATTATATTTATAATTGTAATATTGTGACAATGATGATATAAAATAGATAATTCTATTCAAATGGCTTTATAATTGTAAGATTACTAGCATTATCATTACAAGTACTAGTCTAGCTTATTGACCTCCTGTCTGCCTTTTTTTTATTATGTCTGGACTGCCTGTGTCGGTCGCCTGCTTATATTTACGGGCGTGTGCGAGCAACGCACAAGCGATTGAACTTGCTGTATCTAATCGTCCCACATGGGTGACTGCCCCCTGGAGAGAACAATGCGTTGGTCCCTCCTGATCGTGCTTATGGAACATATATACGTTGACCTCTTTCTTGTAAGTAAGTTTTCGTTCCTGGGGATCGTGTTTGTTCTGGATAGGTTTTCCATAGAAAGATACTTATGATTATTTTTTAAAGGATACGTTTAATATTCGACGGCCCAAGTGTTGGCACTGTGATAGAACCAATTTAATAAGTTAACTTTTCTCAATGGGTCTAGGTGTTGTGGATAGTGCCCCGAAGTGAATTTATTTATTTAAAATGCAAGTCACAACAATACAAGTTCCATTAGTAACTTATTCCTATGACACCCCGTAGGGGTATGACACTTAGTCACTACTTTTAGATTTACATTATTTTACACATTACAAAACACAATGAAAATTAAAAAAAATACATTTAGATTAAAATAAGATGTTAATTATCCGTCATCAGTTTTCGCCAGATACATAAAATAAAACAACAACTTATTTAAATAACTACGTAAGATTGTCTGTATGAAATTCATTTAAGTTATAATAACATTAAATGTAATAATTTTAAATTTTTAGAGAAAGTTCTGTAATTTGCCTCATTTCTTAGGTACTCGGGTAGTACTTTATTATTAATTTTTAT